TTCTACATCAATTTTTTTTTTACCATAATTTACTGGTTAAAAAATTCTTAAAATGATCAATTATATTCTAATTTAATTTTTATAAATTAATTACATTAAAATTAGTAATAATTTTATCAATTTTTAATTTTTTTTCCCATAATTTACTTGTTAAAAAAATTCTTATAATTATTAAATATCTGTTAAATTAATTTTCATTAGAATGTCGGCTAATTTTAGTATAAATAATATTATAAATTATTTTTTGAACTTTGTACCATGTACAAATGTATTTATTTTATATAATAATAATAATAATAACAACAACAACAACAATCATAATAATAATAATAGTTATAGATATATACATAATTCATTGAATTATTTCCAAATACATTTAATGTCATGGAAATAAAATAGATTTTATATAAATAAATGACTAAATTCAAAGTACTGCAAGGTTGACTGGTAGTAAATATAATTAAATATATATTATATTAAATCGTTGGTTTTAAATAAGATAATTGTACTTGGTTCATGAGATTATTTTTGATAATAAAAATAAATAATTGTATATATATCTAGCGGGATTTTATCAACTCGCGATCAGTCGGATCATTTTTTTTTATGATCAAATTCAAATTTTATCCTCAGTTCTCCTATTTTGGATACAGGTAATAGGTCTGGTATCCACTCGATTACAAACGGCGTCGGTTCTCGTTGATTCGGTGACGTATATCCTAAAAAAAAAAAAGAAAAAATTAATTTTCAATAAAAATTTAAATTTATTTATTTATGCATTGAAAAATTATCAAAGCTCTTAAGTGGCATTAATTATTTATAAGATCAAAAATTAACAAAATCATTTGAATATTTAATTGCATAATCCATATAATTGAGAAATAAGCATGTATCTCGTGAACTATTGACATTTTTAAAGATATAAACTCATCCCGGCATTACACTCATCGAGACCTTTCGTTTGAGTACCCACATCAATTTTTCATATATTTATATATATTATATATATGTATATATGAAAAATATATCAAAAATGCATGTGGGTACTCAAATGAAAGCTCTTGATGAGTGTAACATCGGGATGAGCTTATATCTTAAAAAATGTCAATAATTAAGAAAGTACAGTGCAATTAAATATAATTAAGAAATGACCTTGTATCTTGTGAACTATTAACATTTTTAAAGATATAAGCTCATCCCGATGTTACACTCATCGAGACCTTTCAAAAGAGTACCCACATCAATTTTTCATATATTTATATATATTATATATATATATGTATATATGAAAAATATATCAAAAATGCATGTGGGTACTCAAATGAAAGCTCTTGATGAGTGTAACATCGGGGATGAGCTTATATCTTTAAAAACATCAATATTTAAAAAAGTTATATTTAATTAAATACACGTACCAACTTTTAAAAATGTTTTTAATTCCAGAGGCTTTATCAAAGCATTTCTATCAGTTTTTTTAAAGTGATCAATATCCGTCTCTTGTCGCTTATATAATTCATAGGATCCATCAGAATTTTGAATGAAGCTCCGAGTAATCTCCAGAGGAATAATCGGAGTCTCAAAAATACTCTTGACGTGAAATATATTAGTTATTAACCAGGTGTACTTGGTAAAAGTGCCCAGAGGCACTGCATCCGTTCTAACAAAAGCGGTAATCGAATTAGGCAGCCGCTTTTTTTTGCCGCCACAGGAGATTCGCTCGCGCAAGCAATCAAAAAATACCTGAGGCACGTGGAAAACCAGCGGCTCGGGCTTGCCGTTGAACTGGAAGTGCATCGTCTGATTTATCCTCTCAGTGACCGATGATAGCCATTTTATAAAAGACACATTAACATTACTCTCATTAACATTCTCATGATAATTTTCATTTTTCTTGTACTGATTATTACGCCTCTTTATCACCAGGTGGTTCGTCCTAGCTCTCTTCACATTTAATTGACTAGCTTTGTTGCTTTGTACGATTTTTTCATCATGACTATCACTAATTACAGAACTAATAGTACCAAAATCCAAGGATTCAATTACATTATCTAGCTTGCGCTTTATCGATGATATCATTTTACTGTTAGGTAACGTTCTGACATCAACAATATTTATGTTTTTACGTTTATTTGTACTGTTTGCATTAACTTTCGTTTCATCTATATTTTCTAATCCTATATTTTGGTCATCAATAAATTTATGTACACTATAGTCGTTATTAAATAAATATCCATTCTCTTCATCATTAATAATGTATTTAGAATTAGTCAGGGATTGATCAACATTATTTATTGTTTGTAAATCTGCGAAGGTCGACTCTCCTAAACTAGCATCGATCTGAAAATAATAATCTATATTATCAAGAGAATAAGCAAAATTTTGTGGATAATGTATTTATATGATAAGTGTCTTTTTATGATTAAATTTGGTATCGTTAGAAAAGTCTTGACCTGGAGTTGTGCCTCTAGGTACATAATTAAAATATGACCTTGTATCTCATGAAAAATTGACATTTTTAAAGATATAAGCTCATCCCGATGTTACACTCATCAAGACCTTTCATTTGAGTACCCACATCAATTTTTCATATATTTTATATATTTATTTATACTATATATATGTATATATGAAAAATATATCAAAAATGCATGTGGGTACTCAAATAAAAGCTCTTGATGAGTGTAACTTAGGGATGAGCTTACATTTTTAAAAATATCAATAATTAAGAAATGGCCTTGTATCTTGTGAACTATTGACA